CGGTGCTTGTTTCCGCGGCAAGGGGCCCAGGATCGCGTTGACTAGCGTCGCTGGGCACTCGCCGCCCGTGGCCATGGCGGCGTGTTCGCGCGCGGCGACAGAGCTGATGCTCTGGCACCCTGGTCTCACCTCGCGCAAGCCAAGACGAAGGGCGACGCAAAGCAGCGCCACCCCTCACATACATGGCACGTAACCCGGCTGGCTGCAACCGCGTGGCCACCGGCGAATTTGCGCGCGCCGTCGGCCTTCTTGACCAAGGGCGTCAACCCCATTCTTGGGGTGATACCCGAGGTCGCGCGCCCCCCCCCCCAGACCTCTCGCCTTCCTCTTCGCCCCATTGCGAGCTCGGCGAGAGAATGGGTTCCGCCAGCCTGGCGGCCGCCCCGGAGGGCTCCACCAAGTATCAGCCCCAGAGGGTCGCGCGGAACGTCGCCCCCCTACCCCGACCCGACCCTTCCCCGCGGCTATATGCGTGGCGGACTGGCCCCCGTCCATGACGGTCGCGCAGAGCGTTCTCCCAACCTCCCCCGCGGCCCGCCGCCTCGGCCGCCTCCGCGCCCCTCCTGCGCGACGGCATGGCAGGCGCCAGGGAAGATGAATGCCTCGCTGCGCCGCGGCGCGGCGTCGAGGGCGCAGGCCCCATGCCCAGCTGCAGCGCCCAACCGCGACTCGGGAAAGGCTGGGCGCCTCACCCCGAAGGGCCACGGACGTCGGACAGGAAAGATGACGCGCATTCGCGCTGGCACGCGGTGGTTGGCACTTTGAGATATGTTACAGATTCAGTCAGAGCGTCCAGCTCCCTCATCGTTCTCGAGGACGCTTCCCGTCGCCCGCAGGCCCCCTCGCGGGACCGTCGAGCTGCGCGGCAGGGACGTTGCTGCGACTGTCCGCGCGAGGCGGGGGGCCGAAAGGGACCCGGCCGTCTCTGAGTCGCGTTGCCTTAATTTTTGGCGGGCCTTGGACGCGTTAAACATGCGTGAGTTTCGCGCCCCCGTAACAATATTCTTGCGTAGTTTTCAGCTGCTTTGCGTTCCCGACGCCAGAATCCATCAGAAATTGCACCAGATTCGCGACACCGAGGTCAGAATGCCGCAAACATACACCAAATTCGCAATCTCGAGGCCAGAATCCTTTGTAAAGTGCGCGGGGCATGCGCTCCGAAACCGGAATGCGCAGTGCGCTCCGCCGATTCACGCTCCCGAAGCCAGAGACCCGTGCAATTTACATGAAGCTCGTGCTCTCAAATTTTCCAGCGCAATATTCAGCCAAGGAACAATTTCCCGCCTGGAATGGCCCCAAGAAATCATGGTGACACAGCGGCGATCGAGAGCCACGCGCTGCAAAGGCAGGGCGCGCACGTCGCGGATTACTTCTTGGAGGCGGCGCCCATGTCCACAGCCGGGGGAATTGAAACCAAAATTGCCATATAATCCTGGGACTGCGCCTGCGAGACAGGCGGCATTGGCGCGGTAGGAGGCGCAATGCGGAGACAACGTGCCGATATCTGGATTGAGGGGGTTCGCTGTGGTAGCGCCCCCGGAATAAGCGCACCCCGTCGCATCTTCGCCGCGGCGTGAGAATTGCCGCGCGGAGACCGCAAGGCCGCTTAGAGATTATAGCGGGGCGGGCCGGGGAAGAGGGGGCCTGCGCCCGGCATCGCGCCCGGGCGAGCGCGCCCCAGCTTAGGGCGATAGCGTAGGCAAGGACATTAGGCAGACTTCGCGCACGGCCTCCACTTGTTCCACACGTGGCAACCCTCTGCCACTGGAGAGGCGCTGGCGACGACGGCCTCCAGAACTTTACTACACATGCCGTCCGCATCGGCATTATACTCGCGGTACACATGCTGGACCTGGGCCGATTGCACGCCCGGCTCGAGTCGCACTGTCTGGAGCAATGCGAACGCTGACTCATGCAGCTCCTGAAGTGAGCGCGCTCTGCATCTCCACTTGCCATGTACCAAATTCCCGAATTACCAACATGGAGTCAACAAGGATCACTAAAGACGGTACGATGAGATTCCTAACGTGCTGCATGCATTCTAACAGGCCCGCGTTTTCGGCATGGTTATTGCGAACACTCCCCAAGAAGCAACCACAACGAGCATCGACGCTGCGGGCTCCATCGACATACCGCACACAACCGTAAGAGGCCTGACGTTCGATTGCGGCGCCTTGGTTGTGCACTGCGCTGTCAGAGGCATCGACCACGACACCTGTTTCAAACTCAGGCGGCTGCGCGCGCATCCGTCGCCGTTCCTGCCGCGTCGCGGTGGCCTGGTTTCCCTTCACTATGGGTCATTGCACAAACGCCTGGCGTGCTGGACCACGTCATCAAAGGAATGGGAAAGCCAACCGTCCAGTAGCAAGCGACGCAGGCGCGCAACCGCACGATTAAACGCCAAAACACATTGCAAGATAGAAGCACTCGGAAGTCGGAAGAAGGTTTTGGAGCCACATGTCACGGGGTGTGAGTTGAGCGTACTGCGTAGGGAGACTGGTTTGTATAGATGCAAGCTTAGGGCAAGCATCTCTATGGCTGACCGGGGTCCATTAGCAGCGCCACAGAATGGGCAAGGCAACGCCGAATTACCACTCATTGGTGCCAACCTGTGCGACCTAAACTCGCCATTCAGAAGATTCCTCATGATGACAAGCCAGTGCTCTCCAGGAACGCTTGACGGAATTTTCCGCGAATTTTGGTCAACAGTGCCCCAGGAGAAGCAGCGCGCAGTGAGCCGCATCCTGACAAGCGTTGCTGTTCCGCGAGCCTCGGCCTTATGGAGGCAGCGATACAAAAAAAGAAGCCATCCAGCTTTTTTGGTTTTAAAAGCGTTTTGGCTTCTCCGTTCGCTCAGTGCCTGGGATACCGTGTGTCCCGTGATCGATAAAACAAATCCGAACTCTTTCGCGTAGGATGACAGCGGTCGCATGGTTGAGCTTGCAGCTGGAGCCGCAAGATCACGCATGCTCGTCGTGACCTGCTGGAGATCCATGCAGCCTGCTTTTTCCATCTGGAGCGAACTGGATAACAGAACAGCAACATTCACCAGGAGCGGGTCCACAGCTTCGACCGATGTACGGAACAATTTTCTCGCGTGGCGAAACAAAGGAACAGGGCACCAACTCACGCGCTCAAGCAAGGACGATGCCAGTCCACGAATCTAGTTGAAAGCAGCGTCACTAGCAAATGAGATTCCCAAGGGACACGCGCCCAAAACAAAACGGTGTTGGATTTTCCAAAATGAAATAAAAATTCAACCACTACCGGAAAGGGGTCGAAAAAATGGCATACGGCACCCCCGTTTCCGAAATACGTGAAACAATGTACCACAAATGGACGGCTTCGTCGGTTTCGCCGGAGACACCCCGCGAAAAATGACCCAGGGCACCCCCGCCCCCAAATGGTTCATTTCGGCGGCGCGTCTTTTGTAGCCGTGCCCCCAAGAATCGAATTCCTGATTTACGGAGGGTATGGACTTCCATTATGCACGAAAGCAGCGGCAGAGCAAACACGTTCCATGCGAGGAGCCTCGCGCCAAGACATGTGCTGGCTTGCCTAGAACAGCGAGCCTCTGCATCAACTTGGCTACCAGCTCAGTTGTGATAGCGGCTTCGCTCGCTCCAGGCCCGTACCAGAAGAAACCGAAAATGTTGTGCCAGCGCACAATGTGGGGATCTCCAAACAGCGAATGCAGCCGTTGCAACTCATGTTGTACAAGGGCACGATTGGGCATCCAACATGTCTTGGCTCTCTTGGTGACTTGTCCTGAGGCTTGCTCAAAAATACTTGCCAATTCGACGACATGCGCCGTTGCAGTACCGGCGTCGATGTTCCAATCATCGCAAAAGCCCGAAGAGGACCCGTCCCTGGAAATTGCGCGGCTTGGTACAGAAACGGACCCACTCCGATGATGTAAACAAACACGCTGAGAGGATGTCCCTGACTGTACCCCGCTTTCAGTTTGAATGCCGGAAAACATGTCCAGAGAAATACAAGTACGCTGTATGGCAATGCGTCAGCTTGAAAATACCCTGGGCGATCGTCTGCGGCACACGAGCGTGCTCAAACACTGCCCTTACCGACTCCCAAGAGAGACGGCAACACAACGCGCAAAATTGATAGGCATCGCTGGGCACGGGCAATGGCCTCCGAGGTGCCGATGAGATTGCGCTCGATTTGCCCACCTGTGACGAAAGCCTGTTGCCGGCTGACGAGCTGCTCAGAGGCGGCGCGATAGAGCAACTGCACCAATATCTGGGCCATAATCTTCGCATCTTCGTTGGGCAATCCCAAATCACGCACAAGGCTCAGCGTGTCGGCGCCTGCCTTCTTAGGAAATGCAAACCATGCGAAGTCGGTCAAGTGACTTGACACTGGCTCGTGCTCTCGAAGCCAAAATCCTTGCTGTAAATTCCGCCAGATGCGCGCTTCCGAAACCAACTCCCTTTATAAATCATGGCGAATTCGCGCTCCCGAGGTCCGAATCCTTCTATAATTATACCAGATTCGCGCCCCCGAAGCCAGAGTCCTCTGTAGGTTACGCCAGACTCGCGCCCCCCAGGCGACGATCCCTGGCAAATTACATCAGATTCGCGCCCCCGAGGCCACGAATATTTTGTAAATGACGTCGCGAGTACAAGCCGTCCTCGCACGAGCTTCCGATATTGCTTCAAGTCGGCGCTCAGGCATCCCAGCATGGCTCTTGAATTTTCTATTATGATGAAGATGGAGCTGGCGGCAGAGGGCAGAGCCCTTACGGATTTAAGAAAGCAGTCAAGTGAAAGGAAGGGGGGAAGAGAATGGTGATGCGGAGGCAAGGGCCACGGAGGGAAGGGGAAGGAATGGGGGTGGGGACGGGGATGGGCCAGCTGAGGCCCAGGTGGGAGATGTGAGATGGGGGGACGAGGGACGACGGAGGGGAGGCGGGTGGGGTGGAGGCGAGTCTTCGGGGGGGTGGAGGGCGGGAAGGGGACCCCGCAGAAACAGAGGTGCCAAGCCTGCGCGCTGCGAGCACCTGCACGGCGGGGCTCTGAACCCGCGAGCTGCGCGCCCCCATGCGGCAGGCCGCCGAAGGCCTGCAGGAAGCCGGTGCCGCGCGGCGGTGCTCGACCGGGCTCTGGAAGCCCAGCGCTGTCAGCGCGACCCGCTGCTGGCGCTCCGGGAGGCGCTGGCGCGCTGAGTCTGCGGCGGGCCCGCACACCGCCCCCAAAGGCGAAAAAGAGCAAGGGGAGTGGCGGCAAGGGGGAGGCGAGAGCAGGGTGGAGGGGGGGTGGGGAGAGGGCGGGCGGAGGAGAGGGCCCGAATGCGAGGGGGAAGGATGGAAAGGAGGTGGAGGGGAGGGTCCCGGCGCCCTCCTCTTCCTCTGCACCCTTCTGCACCTCCTCCAACTGCTTCTGCTCATCCTACCTCACCGCTTATGATCCTGAAGATTAGATATTGGCAAGAGCTTCAAAGACGGAGGGAGGGCCGCTTCCAAAATGTGACTCTCGCACTAGCGCCGCCCACATTCGATCTACAAAAATTCAACTTCACCCATTCAAGGCGGGTCGTTTTCAAAATGTGGCTCTCGCCTTAGCGCAGCACACATTCGACTTAAAAACTGCAAAACCTTTACAGAGAGAAGGCGGTACAAATGGGCCTCTGGCCTTAGCACCGCGCACACTCGCCTTAAACATTTGCACCCGTTTCACGGATTGCCATGTCAACGCAATCAGAAATCGTTTTTGGAACGATTTCGTACTTTCAGGACGCAACAATTTCGTTGATTCGCGGTGGTTTGAACCCCCAGGAGTGGTTTTCTGGCACGGTTCAGGATCGTCATGACGCAGCAGTCAAGTTGATTCGTGGCGTTGGAGTCCAGAGGATGGTCGTTCGGCACGCTTCAGGATCTTCAAAATCGGTTGTCTCCCAGCGAAGCACATAAATCCTTGTAACGACCTATGCAGAGGGAGCTTGGAGTGAGGGTTAATTCTAATATCGTTGATGAGTCTTGGGTTCATACTGGTCTCCATACTCCTCATGCTCCTCCTCATGCGTCTTCTCCTTTGGGTTGCTCCTCCAACAACAAGCGGGGCGTAACCCAGGGATTGGTTTGGCCAGGAAGAATTAACACTCACGGCGGAGATCGGGGCCCATGGAAAATAGCTAGGAACAGCAAGACGGTTGAAACCCAAGTGATTGTATACGTGTTACGCGCGGACCAGCAAACAGTCCGACCAGCCTGTCCCGCCGGGAGAATAAGTGACCAACTACATTCCAATCAGGGTGGCCCGACGGCCAATACTCAAACTTGCCGTGCTCAGACACTCTATGTCGCTCGCAAGGCCTTGGCACTCATATGCAGCGTGGTGCCCATATGATTGGCAACCCTCGGATGGCTGTGCTCGTGGGGCGGTATTATTAGGGTCCCCATTGGGGCCCGCTGGTGGCCTCTTGGGACCATCTTGAAGCAATTTGGGGCGCTCTTGAATTGGCTGCTTCGAGGTCTTTTTGGAGCCGTCTTCACTTGAAACAGCGCGGACACTCACAAAATATACGGTCCTCTTGGAGTCGATGGGAGCCCTTCTCGGGCATCTAGATTGGCACGTGAGTCGTCTGCGGCGCTGTGGACTCTCCGGAGAAAACTCGAGGGAGCCTCAGGTGAGGCTCCAGAAGCGGAGGGGCGACTTCAATATAGTCCGGGAGCCCATATGGCGGGGAAGGCCCCAGGGACCCCGGCCCGGGAACCAGCATTCGCACACATGCGACATGCATACTCTGGATCAACTGCAGATCGGCGGTGAAGTGGCCCGAGCACCACCCACAAAATACTACACTAAAGGCATGACTAACGTATCGGTGCCCGGGGAGCTCATGGTCAGCTATCTGACATAAGGTTGAACAACAACAGGCCACGCCTTGCGCGTACGATCTCCCGCACGTGAAGGTACGATCGTATCGGGAGCTCGGCCACATTCACTTCTAGCTGCAAAAAAACGTGGTGGGCCAAAAAGTGCGGGCTAAGACGAGGACGACAGAACTGTTCATGATCCACACACATCAGAGACATGTCTTCAACACGCGTCGTTCAAGCATTGACTTGCGGCTTCAGAAAAGCCTTCTAGGAAATGACCGCCCTAGGGCAAGCATGGTTACTTGAGGTCGTAAGCCCTTCTAGAACGGCTCTAACCAATCGAAGTCCAACGGAGCACTTTGTACTTTGTCGGCGGCATTGTTAAAGGACTCTAAAACTTTGGGGCAGAGCTCGAAAATGAAGGCTGCGCGCTCTTTTCAAAGGGGGCCCGCCGCTGGGGGGGCCTCCCAAAAGCACTTCATGAAACGGAATGTAGAAACCTTTCAACCTGAGACAGGCCTCGAGTACAGGCCCTGAGCACTCCCATGATGCACCACTCTGCGCAATTCGTTCAGGGTCCGCTGGAACTTTGGAGCCTGAGCCGAGCCCGCGGCTTGAGCCTTGCAGAGTACGGGTGGCAATGCAGATGATCATGGGGTGAGTAATGCGATGATGGCCGAGGTAGTGGAAATCAACGGGAGGCCAGGGGCCTGGGGCACCGCCAGGGTTAGAAAAACGTTGCCCCAGAAAGAACAGCAGCGCAACGCGGAGCGCGACCATGACTGGGAGGGCCGGGGGGGCGGGGGTAGGCGGGGCGGGGCGGGGACGCCAGTTGCGGCCCTGCTGCTGTGTGAGCGGAAGTGTTCCCCCCCCCCCCTCCCCCCCCCCGTGTGCATCCGCCTCCGCCTCTTCCCGTCTCCGCCCGCCCTGGCGGTCTCTGGAGGGGGCAAGGTGGCCTCGCCAGCGGGAGCGGGGTCGTGGCGTCCCTGGGCTGCGGTGCCTTCCGCCTCGAGGAGGGGGGTGTCTCCCTGCACCCCCAGAGGAGGCGGAGGAGGGAGCAGGAAGAACGGGGGGGCGAGGAGGAGGAAAAGAAAGATCAGGAGTCTGAGGAGAGAAATGAGGACGATCACAGTGATGATAACTACCAGAGGTCGGGGGCGGAGCATCGACAGAGGGGGTTGCGGTCGATCCAAGGCTGACGCGACGCGATGCGACGGGGAAGCTCCTGACACTGGAAGCTCGTGGCCACCCCCGCTCGGTTCAGCCTCGCGTGGAGGAACCGATGCAGGTCTGTAGGCGACAGGTTGACAAGGGGAGGGGGAGGAGGGGGAAGGATGATAAGAAGGCGGGAGGGAGGTCGAGAACCGAATGAACGCAAGAGGAGGCCAGGTCCGCCCGTGCTGGACATTCGCGATGAGCGGGTGCGAAGAACTGCTGGTCAATCACGCGAAGCAGCAGCACTAAGTTCGGCACAGTCATGTGCAGGTAGACACATGTTCCTCCCCCTCCCACCCCGGACAAATTAGCCTGGTGAAGGACCCAACCACATGCAGTTGTGGGTGCCGAAGATATGAATATCGACTTCGGTGGCGCTCCTTGTGGGACCACGAACCGTGTGAAGGGAGTGCCGAAGTACTAGGGCGGGGGCGGCGGCGGCGGCGGCGACCGCGAGCTTGGGTCGCGAAACGCATGAGATGTGTGCCGAAGCGAGCGGCGAGGACGCATGCAAGCTACGCCCTATGGTGCCACGAAGCGTGTGAGAGGTGTGCCAAAATGGGTGTCGGGGACGCATGAGGACACCGCCACGGGGGTCTTCGGTGGAGCCCCCCTATGTGGCCGTGAAACATATGATGGGTGTGGCGACATGAGTGGAGCGGACGGATGTGGGCACGGCCACGGGGGCCTGCGGTGGAACTCCCTGTGGGGCCGACATGGGTGGCGGGGACGCATGTGGGCACCGCCACTGAAGTCTTGGGTGGAGCTCCAGATGGGGCCCCGAGACGTGCGAGGGGTGTGGCGAAATGGGTGGCGGGGACGCATGTGGGCACCGCCACTGGGGCCTTCGGTGGACCTCCCTATGGAGCTACGAAACGTGCAAGGGGTGTGAAGACATGGGTGGCGGGGACGCATGTGGGCACCGCCGCTGGGGCCGTCTGTGGAGCTCCCGATGGGGCCACCAAACGTGTTAGAGGTGTGCGGAACTAGGTGTCGGGAACGCATGTGGGCACCGCCACTGAGGCCACGAAACGTGTGAGGGGTGTGCTGGCATAGGTGGCGGGGACGCATGTGGGCACCGCAACTGGGGCAGTCGGTGGAGCTCCCGATGGGGCCACGAAGCGCGTGAGGGGTGTGCCGGCATGGGTGGCGGGGACGCATGTGGGCACCGCCACGGGGGCCTTGGGTGGAGTTCCATATGGGGCCACGAAACTTGTGAGGGGTGTGCCGAAAGGGGTTGCGCGTACGCATGTGGGCACCGCCACTGAGGCCTTCGGCGGAACTCCTTATGGGGGCCACGAAACGTATAAGTGGTGTGTCGACATGGGTGGCGGGCACGCATGTGGACACCACAACTGGGTCCGTCGGTGGAGATCCCGATGGGGCCAGGAAGCGCTTGAGTGGTGTGCCGGCATGGGTGGCGGGGACGCGTGTGGGCACCGCCGCTGGGGCCTTCGGTGGAGCTCCCTCTGGGGCCACAAAGCGTGCGAGGGGTGTGGCGACATGGGTGGCGGGGACGCATGTGAGGACCGCCACTGGGGCTTCCCGTGGGGCTCCCTGTGGGGCCACGAACCGTGCGAGGGGTGTGCTGAAAAGGGTGGCGCGGACGCATGTGGGCACCGCCACTGGGGCTTTCCGTGGGGCTCCCTACGGGACCACGAAGCGTACGAGGGGTGTGCCGAAAGGGGTTGCGCGGACGCATGTGGGCACCCCCACTGGGGCCTTCGGTGGAGCTCCTCATGGGGCCCCGAAACGTGTGAGTGGTGTGCCGACATGGGTGGCGGGGGCGCATATGGGCACCGCCACTGGGGCATTCGGTGGAGCTCCCTATGGTGCCACGAAGCGCGTGAGGGGTGTGCAGAGATACATGGGTGTCGGGGACGCATGTGGGCACCGCCTCTGGGGCTTCCCGTGGAGCTCCCTATCGGGCCACGAAACGTATGAGGGGTGTGGCGACATGGGTGGCGCGGACGCATGTGGGCACGGCCACGGGGGCCTTCGGTGGAGAACGCTATGGTGCCACGAAGCGTGTGAGGGGGTTGCCAAAAGGGGTGGCGGGAACGCATGTGGGCACCACCACTGGGGCCTTCGGTGGAGGTCCCTCTGGGGCCACGAACCGTGTGAGGGGTGTACCCACATGTGTGGCGGGGACGCATGTGGGCACCGCCACTGGGGCCTTCGGTGGAGCTCCTCATGGGGCCCCGAAACGTGTGAGCGATGTGCCGACATGGGTGGCGGGGACGCATGTGGGCACCCCCACTGGGGCATTCGGTGGAGCTCCTTATGGAGCCACGAAACGTGTGAGGGGTGTGGCGAAACGCCATGCGAATCTCGCTACTGGGGCCTTCGGTGGAGTTCCCTATTGAGCCACGAAACGTGTGAGACGTCCGTAATGGGCGGTGACGGTAATAATGACGACGATGACGGTGATGATAATGATGATGCTAACGATGACGATGATATGTATGATGATAGCAATAGCACAGATGATGATACTGCTGATGATGGTGATCACGATGATGATGGTGATGATGAACGTGGTGATAATGATGTCGATGATGAGTATGATGATGATACTGATGTTGACCACGATGGTGATGTTGATGATGATGCTGATGATGGCGATGGTGATGCTGCTGAGAATGATGATGCTGATGATGATGATGATGATGATGATGATGGTGGTGATGCTGCTGCTGCTGCTGATGATGATGATGATGATGGTGATGATGATGATGATGATTCTCCCGCTCGCGCGCTAGCGAGCTGTCTCCGAGCGCGGCCGCGGCGTGCGCGCGCGGGGCGGCCCAAAATGGGCAGGCCCGTCCCGCGCGCTCAAGCCGGGGCGCCGCGCGTCAGACGGTGGAGTCCGTCTGGTCGCCGATGTCGGCGAGGCAGCCATACCCGTGCTCAAGGACCTTGCGAAGTGACAAGGTTTTGGCGGGCGGCCGCAAGCAGGGCAGGCCAAGCGGCGGGGCCGACTTGGAGGAACGAAGCGACAAGGCGGTCGCTGGCGGTGGCGAAGAACAAGATACGAGCCCGTGCGTGCTCGGGCAGCGCAGCAAGAACTGTGGAGGCGGCGGCGGCTTGCAGGTAGCGCTCGGCACTGGAAGCTTGACGCCAGCGCCCTCGCCAGAAGACGCGGGGGACGTCTTCCGTAGCGATATAGAAGTCTGTTGCGCCAGAGCCCCGCAGACAAGCGGGCGTCAGGTTGAGCCCCTGACCTGCTTTGGCAAGAGGGACGCCCAGAGCCAAAAGCAGATGATTCCACCGAGTACGGAAGCCGCTCGCGCCGAAGGGGGCGAGAGGATCGGTGGAAGCCAACCTCCCAAACACTTGATTCAATACCTTCACCGTGCCCCGATCGGAGCAGCGAGCATGTTGCGTCGGGTACGTTCTTCTGGTCTTTGGAACAAGAATCGAAAGAAAAGCATCCCCTTCAACTTCGAGACGGTCGCATGGAAGCGACAGGTCACAGCGGCGTGACGCCAGCAGTTCGCCAGGCCTGAGGAACATCGTGAAGCCCATGAGCAGCAGGGCCGCCATCACCGGCCAGTCCCAGGCGAGACAGAGCCCGACCATGGCGCGCAGCAGCGCGCGTGGCAAGGGGGGACGGAGCTTTGGCGGCTCCGCAAGCTTCCATTGTTTCGCTACGTCCCAAGCTTCTGTCAGAAAGGCCTTCCAATGCGGATGGGCGCTTTGGATTCCCAAGATGGCATGGACCAAAATATAATGAGGGAAACCTGCATCATGAAGCCACACGCCGAAGGTCGCGAGGAAACGGGCGAGAAGTATCCCGCTTCGGTAAAGTGTGGCGGGTGGCACGCCAGTGTGTTCTGCTAACCACAGCTCGAAGGCATCAATCGATCTCGAGCGACGGTCGAGATACGCGGAGGTGAGGTGAGAATCGCGCACGAAGGGAGTGCGCGGAGGGCGAGCGGGCGCGGACGGCGCAGCCCGACTAAGCCCTTGGCCTGCGGTCGGCGCCGCGGCTCCCAGAGAGATGCAGAGGCCGCAGACGCACCACAGGATGAGCGCAGGGCGGCCAGGGCTTGGAGAGCTGATCAGCGTGGCGGCCCTCCTGCGCCTGGACGCGTAGAAGGGCGGAACGAGGGCGTCCCGCCCGTCGGTCTCGAACCCCGACGCCTCCGCCAGCATCGCCCGCGCCGAGCTGAAGGATCCGCCCATGTTACGGTAGGCACGGCGAGCCCCTGCTTCGATCTCGGCTGGCAGAGCGTCCCCTCCCTCGAGGGTCGCCCAGTCAAAAGGCGGGCGCGGCTCGGCAGCACGCGCCGCGGCTGCTTCGGCGAGCTCGGAACGAGCTGCCGAGGACGTGAAGCCCGAATGATGTGGAACGGGCACCACCTCCGCGAAGGCGTCGAGGATCTCGGACGGAGGGGAGTGGGATCCCCACAGCGCTGCTGGGATGGCGCCGTGACTGTCCTGCACATGGTACAGAAGGTCGAAAAGGCAGGCCAATTTGCCCGCGCGCCGCCGCTGCTCGATCTTTGAGCCGAGCCCGATGCCACGGATGGCGCCCGCCCCCATGGCTTGGAGGTCAGCATGCGCGGGGATAGCCTCGGGCTCGACGACGGCCACGTAAGGATGCAACCACGAGGCCTCGTCGATCGGCTCGGCGCCGCCTGTCTGAAACAGGCGCTTGTAGGCGTGCAAGGCCCGCAGGAGGCAGTGCAAGTCATCCTTGCCCTCGGGCTCGGCGGCCCCTGCGGGTGCGAAAGACCTCAGCCACGACGCCGCGCTCTGGAAGGCAGCTTGCCAGGCGGGTCCCCAC